ATGACCAAATAATGACGTAAAGAGTCTAGCACAAGCCTGACAGGAGCAGGGGCGTAATAAATGCTATTGTTGGCCCAGGGTATGGTGGGGATTCACCTGTACCCAGGTAATATGATCCATTGCTGGGCAGGGCTAATGGCTAAGGAGTGTTTCCAGGGCTGGCAGCAGCCTTTCTCTTCCACCAGTTGGTGATTCTCCGTGGTTCTGGTTCTGGCTTCAAGAATGATAAACTGGGTCTCTCCTTTGTCTTCAGCCATTTAACCCCATATTTGAGGATGGCTATTGGCTTGCCCTAGTCCCAGCCAACCTTTCTTTCCTTCCAGTTCAATATTTCTGGAATAAATTTCATCATCAATCAGTTTCCACCTGGCCAAATCCTTATCTGGTGTCCCTTCCCTGGTTCTCTCTAGTTTGTCACCTTCTCTTTCTCACAATATGGTGGCCAGGAGGGTACTGGATACCTAAGACAAGGACTCCATTTCCCAGAAAACAGCAGGCTCCCCTCCTGGTTGGGTCCTCTGATTTGGGGGAAATGATTGTAAGCTCTTGGACAGAATGAAAACTGCCAGTGTATCTGTCTCCTTTCTATCTTTCCCCCAGCCTTCTCACTTTCATTTCTCTATTTCTCTCTTTTCAACAGAAAATTTCCATCTCACCAGATTTCCCAGTACTATTCTTATGTAACCAATATTTTGGAACCTCAACACAGGACTTAGCACTCATCCCTGGTGAATTTCATGTTGCTGGTTACCACCCAACTTTGCAATCTGTCAAGGATGCCTTGAATCTGCTTCAGTCACCCATTGTATTGGAGCTCCCTCCCAGACAGCAGCCATCTGCCAGGTGAAGGGTGGCTTCCTCTGCCTCCATTCAAGGGACTCATGACAATGCTGGGCAGCCCAGGGCCAGGATGGAGCTTCATAGAGATCTCCTTCAGCTTCATCAGAATTGTTCAGTTCTAAATCCGACTCTCTATGATCCAGCTCACATTTATGTCTTATCTATAAGGACAAATGCCAAACGCTTTGCCTGATCAAGATAAGTTGTCTGGAGTCATCCAACTGCAGTGACAGAATGAGGAGGCAATTTGACTGGTGCTCAAGAATCAAGGCTTAATCTTTTCTTAAATGCATACAGTCACCCAAATAGAAACCTGTTCCTGAAACTTGCCATGCATGAATGTCAAAATATTCTTTTCAGAATTTACTATTTACACCTTTGGGTAAAATCAAACACCAATGGCTCCTGCTGTTGTGTTGTTCATCAATGGCTTCCCCCAGCACTTCGTGTCAAGTCCAAAGTCCTCCCCATGGCCTCAGGGTGTTCCTGCCCCCATTTCCCATCTCCTGGACCCTCACCCACCTGTTTCCAGCCACATGGGCCTCCTTGCTTTTTTTGAACACACTAAGCCAGCTCCTACCTCAGGGCCTTTTCACTGGCAACTGCATGGCTCAGTCATTCGGTTCCCTGCTTATCTCATCAGAGAGGCCTTCCCTGACCAACCTACCTAAAAGGTCAGCACCCCTCCAAACTCCCACATACTTTTTTTTTTTTTTGAGATGGAGTCACGCTCTGTTGCCAGGCTGGAGTGCAGAGGTATGATCTTGGCTCATGGCAGCCTCCACCTCCTGGGTTCAAGTGATTCTCCTGTCTCAGCCTCCCAAGTAGCTGGGATTACAGGCATGTGCCACCATCATGCCCAGCTAATTTTTGTATTTTTAGTAGAGATGCGCTTTCTCCATGTTGGCTAGGTTGGTCTCCAACTTCTGACCTCAGGTGATCCACATGCCTCAGCCTCCCAAATGCTGGGATTACAGGCGTGAGCCACCGTGTCTGGCCACCCACATACAATCTATCACTCTCTCCTCCCCTTTATTGTCACTCACAGCACTGACTGCCACTGACCGTACATTTATTTATTTGTTCACTTTTTACCTCTGAAATGTAAGTTCCAGGACAGGGACTTTGCTTTGTTCACTGCTTCATCCCAGCACTGGAATAGGCACGTGGTAAGGTGCTCCATGAATATTTATATATATTTTTTAAATTCTTTTTTTTTGAGACAAAGTCTCGCACTGTCACCCAGGCTGGAGCGCAGTGGCATGATCTCGGTTTACTGCAACCTCCGTCTCCTGGGTTCAAGTGATTCTCCTGCCTCAGCCTCCAAAGTAGCTGGGATTACAGGCACCTGCCACCATGCCCAGCTAATTTTTTTTTTTTTTTTGGAGAGACAAGCTTTCACCATGTTGGCCAGGATGTCTCAAACTTCTGACCTCATGATCTGCCTGCCTTGGCCTCCCAAAGTGCTGGGATTACAGGCATGAGCCACCACACCCGGCCAAATGTTTATATATATATAATATATAATGTATATATATATATACATTATATATACACATATATGATATACTATATATACATTATACATAATATATATAATGTATAATGTACATATATTATACATTTTATATATATATATATATATTTTTTTTTTTTTTTGAGATGGAGTTTTGCTCTTGTTACCCAGACTGGAGTGCAATTGTGCAATCTCGGCTCACCACAACCTCCATCTCCTGGGTTCAAGCGATTCTCCTGCCTCAGCCTCCCGAGTAGCTGGGACTACAGGCGTGCACCACCATGCCCAGCTAATTTTTGTATTTTTAGTAGAGACGGGGTTTCACCTTGTTGACCAGGATGGTCTTGATCTCTTGACCTCGTGATCCAGCCTCCTCGGCCTCCCAAAGTGCTGGGATTGTAGGTGTGAGCCACCGCGCCCGGCCATGTTTATATTTTTAATTAAAAAAAAATTTTTTTTTGAGCCAGGGTCTCAGTCTGTCACCCAGGCTGGAGTGTAGGTCAAGGCTCATGGCAGCCTGGACCTCCAGGGCTCCAGCAATCCAACTCCCTCAGCCTCCTGAGTACCTGGGTCTACAGGCACACACCACCACACCTAGCTAGTAACTTTTAATTTTTTTTTCTTTTCAAGACGAAGTTTCACTGTTGTTACCCAGACTGAAATGCAATGGCACGATCTTGGCTCATCGCAACCTCCGCCTTCTGGGTTCAAGCAATTCTCCTGCCTTAGCCTCCCAAGTAGCTGGGACTACAGGCGTGCACCACCATGCCCAGCTAATTTTTGTATTTTTAGTAGAGACGGGGTTTCACCTCGTTGACCAGGATGGTCTCGATCTCTTGACCTCATGATCCACCTGCCTCGGCCTCGAAAGTGCTGGGATTATAGGCATGAGCCACCGCACCCGGCTGTAACTTTTAATTTTTAAGACAGAGTTTGGCTCTTGTTCCCCAGGCTGGAGTGCAATGGTACAATCTCAGCTCACTGCAACCTCCACCTCCCGGGTTCAATCGATTCTCCTGTCTCAGCCTCCTGAATAGCTGGGATTACAGGCACCTGCTACCACATCCAGCTAATTTTTTGTATTTTTAGTAGAGAAGGGGTTTCACTATGTTGGCCAGGCTAGTCTTGAACTCCTGACCTCAGGTGATCCGCCCACCTTGGCCTCCTAAAGTGCTGGGATTACAGGTGTGAGCTACTGTGCCCAGCCAATTTTTATTTTTTAGAGACAGGGTCTTTCTCTGTTGCTCAGGCTGGAGTGCAATGGTATGATCATAGCTCACTGTAGCCAACAACTCCCGGGCTCAAGTGATTCTCCTGCCTCAGCCTCCCAAAATGCTAGGATTATAGGCATGAACCACCATGCCTGGCCAAAAAATATTTATTGAACCTGAGAATGAACAAACCCTGCAGGACTCCAGGGAGACCTCCCCACCTCCGCCGCTCACCTCCACCCACTCACCGAAGCTGGAGAGCTATCTTCCATCCTCATCCTCTTTCCTGGCTGAAGGCCCTTCTTGGTGGGGAAGAAGGGACGGCAGCAACGAGGTATGCTTTCTCCTTCCTGGCATGACACTGCCTTCCTCAGGCAACAGCTGAGCCAGCCTCCCTCTGCCCCTTCTCACTCCAAACAGCTTTAAAGGGTTGTTTTTTTTAATAGCAAGGCAGGGAGAAGGTGTCATTTTTCCAAGCCTCAGGTCATTGTGAAATTTACCTCTCTGAAATTGTAACAAATACAATATTTAAAGCTGCCCTGGCTGGGCAGGGTGGCTCACCCCTATAATCCCAGCACTTTGGGAGGCTGAGGTGGGTGGATCACCTGAGGCCAGGAGTTCAAGACCAGCCTGGCCAACATGGTGAAACCCCATCTCTACTAAAAATACAATTAGCTGGGCATGGTGGCGTGCCTGTAATCCCATCTACTTGGGAGGCTAAGGCAGGAGAATTGCTTGAACCTGCGAGGTGGAGGTTGCAGTGAGCCAATATTGCGCCACAGCACTCCAGCCTGGGCAAGAGTGAGACTCTGTCTCAAAAATAAATAAATAAGGCCGGGCATGGTGGGTGTAATCCCAGCACTTTGGGAGGATGAGGCGGGCAGATCATCTGAGGTTAGTAGATGAGACCAGCCTGGCCAGTGTGGTCAAACCCCGTCCCTACTAAAAATCCAAAAATTAGTTGGGCATGGTGGTGGGCACGTGTAATCCCAGCTACTCAGGAGGCTGAGGTAGGAGAATGTCTTGGACCTAGGAGGCAGAGGTTGTAGTGAGCCAAGATTGAGCCACTGCACTGCAGCCTGGGTGACAGAGCAAGACTTTGTCTCAAAAAATATAAACTATCAATCAATCAATCAAGCTGCCCACGAGGGACACAGCCTTCCTTCTCTGGTGCTCCCACCTCCATCTTACCCGCCGCCAGACATGTTTATCCCCCTCCCATCTTCCTTGAGGTCCTGCCATCCTTTCTCCCTGTTTTCCCTTACACCTGCCACCCCAACTCCGTATTCCCTGACACTCCCCAAAGAGCGATTTGCAAACTTTTCCTAGCAGAGACCCTCTCTGCTCACACTTCCACCAGCCCTAGGTCCCTGTCCCAAACATTCCTTTGGTCCCCTCTCCTCTGGCCCCAAAAGGAAGCAGCCCCTTCAGCTATTATTGGCATCAGCATTGGGCTCAGCCTCTTTATTAGGCAGCAGGAGGGGGTGGCCCAGCTTTGTCAGGAGGGGAGTGACACCACGAGGCCCTCCAGAACAGCTCCATCCCAAAGCTTTCCGGCTAGAACAGAGGACAGGCTGCACCATCACTCCTCCTCTTCATCATCTTCTTCCAGGGGTGGCCGTTTCCGCTTGAAGAAGCCAACCTGGGGGTGCACAGGGCCAGGGTCAGGGTAGAGAGATGATCTGTAGGCCCCAGAGCACATGTGAGGAAGTATGCTAGCCACGAGGACCTCCCTGGACCAGCACAGAACTCGAACCCCACTGTACTCACAAATGGATGCCTTTTGACATTTAGAGATAATGCATGGAACAAATTGTTCAGTTTTTATTTCCCCTGAGTTTTTTCTTTTTCTCTCTTTTTTTTTAGACGGAGTCTCACTCTGTCACCCACGCTGGAGTGCAGTGGTTCAATCTCAGCTCAATGCAGCCTCCACCTCCTGAGTTCAAACAATTCTCATGCTTCAGCCTCCTGAGGGTTTACAGGCGTGTGCCACCACGCCTGGCTAATTTTTAGTAGAGACAGTTTCATGAGGTTTCGCCATGTTGGCCAGGCTGGTCTCAAAACTCCTGACCTCAGGTAATCTGCCTGCCTTGGTCTCCCAAAGTGCTGGGATTACATGTATGAACAACTATGTCCGGCCTCTGAAAAAAAATTTTTTTTTTTTTGAGACAGAGTTTCGCTGTTGTTACCCAGACTGGAGTGCAATGGCAGGATCTCAGCTCACCGCAACCTCCGCCTTCTGGGTTCAAGCAATTCTCCTGCCTCAGCCTCCTGAGTAGCTGGGACTACGGGCGCACACCACCATGCCCAGCTAATTTTTGTATTTTTAGTAGAGACGGGGTTTCGCCATGTTGACCAGGATGGTCTCGATCTCTTGACTTCGTGATCCACCCGCCTCAGCCTCCCAAAGTGCTGGGATTATAGGCGTGAGCCACCGCGCCCGGCTGAAATTTTTTTATTTTATATTTAGAGACAGGCTCTTGCTCTGTCACCCAGGCAGTCCTATCACCCCCTAGCCTCCCAAGTGCTGGGACTACAGGTGTGGACTACCACACCTAATTAAAATTTTTTTTTTGTAGAGATGGGGTCTTAGCTGAGCTCGGTGGCTTACACCTATAATCCCAGCACTTTGAGAGGCTGAGGCAGGTGGATTACCTGAGGTCAGGAGTTTGAGACCAACCTGACCAATATGGTGAAAACCCCTCTTAAAAAAAAAAAAGAAGGGCTGGGCACGCTGGCTCAAGCCTGTAATCCCAGCACTCTGGGAGGCCGAGGCGGGTGGATCACGAGGTCAACAGATCGAGACCATCCTGGTCAAAATGGTGAAACCCCGTCTCTACTACAGATACAAAAAATTAGCTGGGCATGGTGGTGCATGCCTGTAATCCCAGCTACTCGGGAGGCTGAGGCAGGAGAATTGCCTGAACCCAGGAGGCGGAGGTTGCGGTGAGCCGAGATCGCACCATTGCACTCCAGCCTGGGTAACAAGGGCGAAACTCCGTCTCAAAAAAAGAAGAAGAAGGAGAAGGAGAAGAAGAGAGGCTGGGCGTGGTGGCTCACACCTGTAATCTTAGCACTTTGGGAGGCCGAGGTGGGTGGATCACCTGAGGTCAGGAGTTCAAGACCAGCCTGGCCATCATGGTGAAACCCCATCTTAAAAAAAAAAAAAAAAAAGAAAAGAGATGGGGTCTCGCTATGTTGCCCAGGCTGGTCCCAAACACTCCACCGCACCGGGTCCCCACCTGGAATTTTTCTTATACTGAAGTTTGTGTCTCCATGGCTCAATCCTATGATGATATGGAGTTGATTACTGTGGGTCCAGGGTGTGATTTCCCTAAAAGCACCATGTCTCCCCAGGGCTTGAGCACGTCTCCAGGTGCAGAGGAGCAAGTGACCCTCCAGAGCCACATAGGAAGGGAGGAGTAGAGTCTAGACCAGTCCTTGGGCCTCTTGCATCACTCAAGGGGAAGGACAGGGCTAGGAGGATGTGTGTCTTTTCCCTGGGAGCAGCCAGATTTTCCTGAAGCAGGACTTACACCCTCTATACCCTCTAAACTCTCTGACTCCTCCTGGTGGTGGGGGTGTCTAAAGGCTTCAGAATTCCAGGTGCTATCCTTTCCAGGGCTATGTGCCTGTAAGGGTTCCCTGGAGAATGATATTTTTGTTTATTTTATCTTTTTTTTGGTCTTTTTTGTTGTTGTTGTTGTTGAGATGGAGGCTTGCTCTGTCGCCCAGGCTAGAGTGCAGTCAAGTGATCTTGGCTCACCGCAACCTCTGCCTCTCAGGTTCATGTGATTCTACTGCCTCAGCCTCCCAAGTAACTAAGATTACAGGCATTTATCACCATGCTTGGCTAATTTTGGTATTTTTAGTAGAGACAGGGTTTTGCCATGTTGGCCAGGTTGGTCTTGAATTCCTGACCTCAGGTGATCTGCCCGCCTCGGCCTCCCAAAGTGCTGGGATTACAGGTGTGGGCCACCGCACCCAGCCGAGACATAGATCCCTGGTCCCTGGATCACCCACTTGGGTGGGCCACCCTCTCTCCTTGACTCCCTGTGCCCCACTGGGGACTCCACCATCCTTCACACCTCACCTTCCACATGGCCAGAACAAGGAGGGTGAGCAGCAGCAGGCCACCCAGCACGCCTACCGGCACCCACCAGATCGGAATGGCCCTCTCCTCCAAGGCCCGGAGCAGCTGAGTCCGAACCTGGGGGCAAACCCACGCGTCTCCTCAGTCACCTTGACACCTGCCCTTCACGAAGACTCAAACCTCGGGCTGGTGACCTCCAGCCACACCCAACCACCCCTCAGACCCTCCTGGCTGGGCACTGACTAGGGGACAATGGTTTAGTCAGGTGTGGTCTCTGCAGGTCTGGTCTCTGCTCCATACCCCCACACTCACCTGAGCTTCCCCTCGGGGCAGGCTGAGCGGGGGCACAGCGTAGGGGAGGGAGGACACGTTGAACCATGCGTGCGACTGCAGCACAAACTGATCCAGTGGCCTCTGGACGGGTTGGGGTTGAAAGCCATTTACACCCACAAGAGGCCTATTGGTTGCAGGAGTCCAGGCCCCATACTCCTGGCAGGGAAGCCCTGCCTCTGGCCTAATCCCGCTGCAATCCCCCAAAGTAAACCTTTGCTCTCCTCCTGTCCTCCCACACCAAGCCCCCGCCCCTCCCCAGAGCAAAGTGGTCCCCACCTAGAAGGCCCCGCCCCGCCCCCCACACATGCCCCACCTGGCGGAGGCTGGGGAGCCACAGGAAGGCCAGTATGGTGACCATGGCCCGCTGCCCGCGCGCCATCTCCTGCAGGTCACACTCCACCACAGTACAGGTCTCTGAGTCGCAGCTCTGAGGAGAGGCGTCGTCAGTCCCCAGCTTGTCCTGGCCCATCACCCCATCATCCCATCACTCCCTCACCCCCTTACCCCCTGGACCCAAAGCAGAGGGGGCTGGGGGTTCAGGAAGCGGTGGCCTTCCCATCAGGAAGGGCCTTGGAACCAAGCTTTGCATGCCATCTCTCCACGGGCTTGCTCACATAGTCCCAGAGATGCAGGGAGGGGTCATCTCCCCTAGCGCAATGCCCAGATCTATGATGACCTTGCATTGTTTTTATTTTACTTAATGTACTGGAAAGCTTTAAAAAAATGCTGCTGTCTCCCAGCTCCCCTCAGACACAAGCCGGCATGCTCCTACACTTTCACTTGAAGTGTTCCCTGGGACCAAGCATGACCCACAGAGGCTCACAACACACCTGGACTCCTCACCCTCCTCCCATCCCCTCTGCCCCTTGGCCCCGGGGAGGCCCTGCTGGAGACCAGAGAGCCTGCTCACCACGAGAATGGGATCCTGAAGCCTTGAGGGCTGCCCAGGCTCTGGTAGGACGATCTGTCTGCGATCCCGCTTGTGATGAGCCGGGTGGATGGAGGAGGGGCTGGTGGTGGGCAGCCCCCAGTCCACCTGGTGGGGCAAAGGAGCTATCAGGCCCAGGTCTCCCCAGACCCCAGCCCACAGAGGTGCCTAGTGGCTAGTCTGGGCCCCCCCTCACAGCTCTTTCTTCCACCCAGCTCTCACCTGGAGGGGGTTGATGGGAGGCTGTGGGGAGCACTGAAGGCCCCCCTGGGGCTGTAGATCCAGGATGTAGAGCAGGTCTGAGGGCTGGGACTGCCCAGGGAGGTGGATGCGGAGGCGAAGGCCTTTCACAGTCCCAGGGCCATTGTTGTGGAGCTGGCAGGTGGTGGTGACAGGGTGCAGGAGCTGGGCGCCTCACCCACGGCTCTGAGGACCCATGCAGCCCAGCCCAGGACGCGAGGCGCTTCCCTACCTCATAGGTGTGCTCCACTTTGGGTCCCCAGCTGACCAAGCTGTTCTGCTCCTTATCACCTTCTTCTGCCGCCAGCACCAGGGAGGCTGGAAAGGAGTTCCTACAGGTGCCCAAGACCCCCAGAGAGAGTGTAATGGCCTGACTGGACTGTTGGGGTCCCCAGCGCCCCCTGGAGTTTAGAGCCCTTCTGCCACCTCCCTTCTCCACCCCTGGCCTCTCACCCTCGAAGCTCCACTTGGGCCTCTGCCCAGACTGGCACCTCCAGCAGCACCATCTTGCTGTTTGGATTCTGGCTGTTCTTGCTAGAGGGGAGGGGATGAGGAGAAACCGGGCCATGGACACCAGCCCAGTGACTCTCTGGGGATGAGGCCAGAATTTTAGAGTTCCGAGAGAACTAATTATACAAACAGCATGCCACACTGAGTGAGACTTGAGAAAGAACTTCCTGTAGGGCTCTAAGACTCAGACACAGTCTCTGAGGAAGAAAGGGAACCGGGCTTTCTCAAAAGACCCTTTTTTTGAGATGGAGTCTCACTCTGTCACCCAGGCTGGAGTGCAGTAGCCCAGTCTCGGCTCACCACAACCTCCACCTCCTGGGTTCGGTTCAAGTGATTCTCCTGCCTCAGCTTCCTGAGTAGCTGGGATTGTAGGCACACACCACCACGCCATGCTAATTTTTGTGTATATATATATATATATATATTTTTTTTTTTTTTTTTTTTTTTTGAGACGGAGTTTCGCTCTTGTTACCCAGGCTGGAGTGCAATGGCGTGATCTTCACTCACCGCAACCTCCACCTCCTGGGTTCAGGCAATTCTTCTGCCTCAGCCTCCTGAGTAGCTGGGATTACAGGCACATGCCACCATGCCCAGCTAATTTTTGTATTTTTAGTAGAGACGGGGTTTCACCATGTTGACCAGGATGGTCTCGATCTCTTGACCTCGTGATCCACCCACCTCGGCCTCCCAAAGTGCTGGGATTACAGGCTTGAGCCACAGCGCCCGGCCCCTTAATTTTTGTATTTTTAGTAGAGATGGGGTTCCACCATGTTGGCCAGGTTGGTCTCCAACTCCTGTTCGCCAGTGATCCGCCTGCCTCGGCCTCTCAAAGTGCTGGGATTACAGGTGTGAGTCAATGTACCCATCCTCGAAAGACCCTTCTGTATGGAAGGGACCTGAGGGGCTCTGCTTGGGGTCAGACAGGGGAAGGAGGTGGGTAGGCGTGCTTGCCAGGTCAGTACCTCCGGATCTGCAGCTGGAAGGACACAGACTCTACAGCCTCTTCCAGATTCCCCACACTCAATAACATCGCGATTCCTATCTGGGAGACAAGGAGAGCCAAGATCGATGACCAAATGCCCACTTCAGGGAGCCCTGCCCTGAACATGGACTCCAGTCCTCACCCTCCAACATCACCATGAGTATTTTTTTCTTTTTCTTTTTTTTTTCAAGATGGAGTCTCACACTGTCGCCTAGACTGGAGTGCAGGTCTCACACTGTCGCCTAGACTGAAGTGCAGTGGCATGATCTTGGCTCACTGCAACCTCCACCTCCCAGGTTCAAGCGATTATCTTGCCTCAGCCTCCCAAGTAGCTGGAATTACAGGCGCCTCCCACCACAACCAGTTAATTTTTGTATTTTTAGTAGAGATGGGGGGGTTTCACTATATTGGCCAGGCTGGTCTCGAACTCCCAACCTCAGGTGATCCGCCCACCTTGACCTCCCAAAGTGCTGGGATTACAGGAATGAGCCACTGCACCCAGCAGGTCACCATTATTATTTCTATTTTACTCGGAAGCCCACTGGGTAAAGGGGCTCAGAGAGGGAAAGTCATTCACCCAAGGACATGTGGCAAGGGGGTGTGAGGACCAAGGTTCTGGCCCAGAACTATGGCTCTAAAACCTCACCCCTAAAATCTGGTTGTTCATGAGTCCCCAGTGGAGACTTGGCACCATGACCCAGCAGCCTCACCTGAGCGTTCTTCTTCATGGGGTTGCCCAGCTCACACAGTACCACGCTGGTCTCATTCTCCTTCTTCTGATTACAGATGAGTCTCTCAAAGCCCTTCAGGAAGGCAGTCCCAAGAAAGAAGTTGGTTACAGAGCATCATATATATATTTAAGCTCCCTTGGAAGGTCTGGAGAGATTTGTGTGCCAAGGCAGGGAGGCAGGTTTCTTGGGGTGAGATCTCAGGGGACTGTCACATGCTAGTGTATGCATTGCTGTAGCACTATTACTTTTCATGAATTTTCATTTTGAAAATAAAAAACACAAAACATTAGAGTATGTCCCCATTATTATAAACTTCATTAACAAACATAAAAAATAAATATATACTTATGTGAGTGCCGGTCAATATTGAGAAAAAGACTGGAAGGAAATCCACCACAGGTGAACAGAGGTTCCTGTTAACATTTGGTTCCTAAGCCTTTTTTGTTTTTCTGGTTTTTATAGTAGAGTTCTGGAATTCTGTGCCATTAGCAAGGATTCCTTTTCCAAATTAAAAAAATAATACATTAGATCTTTGACAGCAAAGCAAGAGAGAAGAGGGACTCTCAGGGAGGGAGATGAGAGAGCCGAGGCTGCAGCACTCCCCCAGGTCCCAGGTACTGCTCCAGGGTGGGGGCCTCACCTCGACGTTGCTGAGGGCCCGCATGTAGTGGGCCCCCTGGGGCAGGTGCACAGTGAGCTCTGCTTCATAGGCCCCCTCGCCCTTGTTGGCTGCGTCCATCTGCAGCTCCAGGACGTTATCTGCTCCAACTAGGAGTGGGGAGCCGGTCCTGTGGGGAAAGAGGAATGAAGCCAGGGACCCTGGGTCCAGGCCCAGGGCCTGGGAGGAGAGGGGGACTCAGGTGGGGAGTGGGTATGACGGGCAGAAAGGGCCAGGGTTGGGCAGAGTGGGAGGCCTCCTCACATGTTGGCAGTGAGCTGAAGCTGGGGCACACACACGTCATCTTCCCCGCAGTCCAGGATGATTCTCGTCTAGAGGGGCACATTGGGGTGTGTGAGTAAGCTGGGGACATGTGAGGTTTGGGGATTACATCAGGGTTAGGAAAACAGTGAGCTTGGGGGTTCACATAGGGGCTTAGGGAGTAAGAAGATCTGAGGCCGAAAAGGAGTTTGGAGATGGTATCAGGGCTCTGGGGTTTATTTGGAGGTTTGGGATAATTTTGGCGTTTATCAATTTACATCAGAGCTTAGGAGATACTGGGATTTTGAGGGTTTTTTTTTTTTTTTTTGAGACAGTCTTACTCTGACACCTAGGCTGGAATGCAGTGGCACGATCTCTGCTCACTGCAAGCCTCCCGGGTTCAAGTGACTATCCTGCCTCAGCCTCCCAAGTAGCTGGAATTATGGGCATGTGTCATCACACGTGGCTAATTTTTTTATTTTTAGTAGAGATGGGATTTCACCAGGTTGGGCAGGCTGGTCTTGAACTTCTGACCTCAGGTGATCTGCCTTCCTCGGCCTCCTTAAGTGCTGGGATTAGAGGTGTGAGCCACTGTGACTGGCCAGATTTTGAGGTTTTCATTAGGATTTGGAATGACATTGAGGTTTTGGGGTTCACAGTATGACATGGCACTAACCCTAATCCTGACTTGCTGTCAGGGGTCCTGCACCTCTCTTGCCTGTCCCTGCCTGTCCCTGTCCCTACCTGCTCCTGCACGTGGGTGTCTCCATGCAGCATGACAGCAGGGGCTATTCCAGCCTCCTTGGAGGGCAGGGACACGTTGAGGCTGAGCACAATGGGGCTCAGCTTGTCCCGGAAGTCTGCCTCATCCTAGGATGGGAGCAAGAATCAGGCCATCTTTTAGTAGAGATGGGATTTCACCATGTTGGGCAGGAATGCTGCCATGCACATCCCACCTTCTCCTGGCCAGTAGGTGCCGTGTCCTGACCATCCCCGGACTCACAGCACCCAGCTCAATGCCCCAGGGCTGGATGAACAAGTCCAGCAGGTGAGCTCTACACACCCAGCCCCGCCAATCCCTGCCTGGGCGTACTCGAAGGAAGGCCATGGTGGTTTGGCAGATGGGGCTGTGCCTTCCGCTCAGGTCCAGGTTTAGGGTGGTGCCCGCCTGTTGAGAATCCAGCAGTAGCACCCGCCGGCCCTGGCGGGGCTTCTGCCGATCCAGCTGCAGCTCAGCATTTAGGTCTGACAGGGCAAATGGAAGAGTCAGGAGCTCCCTGGTCAGCCTCTGGGGAGTCCAAGCCCCCCTCCTCCCCCTCCACACCACTCACACAGCTTTTGAGGAATGTTGTGTCCGGTGGCTCCAACACACATCTGGATGTTGAAGCTGCAATGACGTAAGTGGGGCTCAGGGGCTGCGGCCTTTCTGAGGTCCCAGGTCCATCAAGGCCCACGCCCTCCGCCTCCTCACCAGCTCACGGGTGTCTTGGTCTGGGGTAGGACACAGCTCTTCACAGCAGGATTCAGTGAATCTTGCACCAGTAGCTGGACAGAGGCCTTCACCACTGGCTGGGCTCTGATGGGATGGGGTGGTGGGGTAGTCTTGGCACTATGGCTCCTCCTGGCCTGGCCTCTGATGGCACGGGCCTCGCCCATCCTGCCCCTGGAGCCAGCGCTCACCTGTACACAGCCACCTGGCTAGCCCCGTAAGCTCCCACGATCAGGTCTACAGACATCAGGGAAGGGGTCAGAATCGGCCGTTAGAGAGGGCATGGGATCCTCATCTCCTTCCCAGGGGTTCCCCACACCACCTCCCCCACTGGAGCTTTGACCTGGCCCCTCTGGCATCCCGTAGTGGGACACCAGGCCAGGCATGAGCCCCTGGCCGTATCTCTCGGCACTTCCAGCGAATGTCCAAGGGCCTTTCTTGGGCATTTCTAGCTGGAGGCAGTCCAGGTTACCTGGGTATCCATTGTCATCAATGTCTACGGCACCTCGAAGGGAGAAGCCAAAGGCAGAACCTGTGGGGAAGGGGCTGTCCAGGACCTGGGAGGGACGTGAGCTCAGCCCCTCACTCTGACCCAGGAACACCAGCACTTGGCCACGGCCACTGGGACCCCCGTAGGGGGCAGCCACTGCAACATCTGGAAGGAGTAACAGAAAGGGAGTGGCTGCTTGTTATTCAGTCTCCCTCGATGACTGTAAAACTTCCCTGAGTACATCGCAGGAGATCAGGAAAGGGGTGCAAAGTCTGGGTGAAGAAGACACTGCCCTGCCCCCCAGGAGGTGACAATCAGGTGTGAGAGAGACCTGACAAGTCGGATTGTTATAAAAACAGCGACAACTCTCACTGTCTATTGAGGAAAGTATATTGACTATATTTCATTTAATCCTGAAAATTCAGCATCATTATGCCCTTTTCTAATTTTTTTTTTTTTTTTTTTTTTTTAGATTGAGTCTCACTCTGTAGCCCAGGCTGGAGTGTAGTGGTGTGATCTTGGCTCACTACAATTTTTGCCTCCCCTCTTCAAGTGATTCTCATGCCTCAGCCTCTCCAGTAGGTGGGATTACAGGCGTGAACCACCACATGTGGCTAATTTTTGTATTTTTAGTAGAGGCGGGGTTTTACCACGTTGGTCAGGCTGGTCTCGAACTCCTGACCACAAGTGATCTGCCCACCTTGGCCTCCCAAAGTGCTGGGATTACAAGTGTGAGCCACTGCGCCCAGGCCCCCTTTTCAAATTTTTTAATATTTATTTATTTATTTATTACCCATAACTCCTGAGAATATACCAAGTAAAAAATTTTTTATTTTTAAGATAGGGTCTTGAGCTATCATTCAGGCTGGAGTGCAGAGGTTCGACATGGCTTACTGCAGCCTCAACCTTCTGGACTAAAGCAATCCTCCTACCTCAGCCTCCCAAGCAGTTGGGACTACAGCCACTATGCCTAGCTAACTTAAAACGTTTTCTGTAGAGGCAAGATCTCCTTATGTTGCCCAGGCTGGTCTCAAACTCCTAGGCTCAAGGGATCCTCCTGCCTGGGCCTCCCAAAGTGCTGGGATTCCAAGCATGAGCCACCATGCCTGGCCATCTAGCATCTATTTCTAACCTTCTCCATTCCGACAAGCTCCCAGCCGTCCACTCCCTTCAGCAAGTGACATCATCTTACTTCAGGAAGAGAGGCAGCCACTGTTATGCTATAATCCCACACTGACTTTCTTTCCCCTTTCCCCATTTGACCCTGGAAGAGGTTTCCCTCCTTAACACTGACACCTGGCCAGTCACCCTCCCACCCCCGAGGCATCACAGGGACCCTCCGCCAGCTCAACCCCACATTTCCCCACAATATCATTTTCCTCCACATTCAACCTACTCCACGTTCTTCCACATTGAAATAATCTTCTTTTGACCTGTATCCCTTTTCTGTGATCACCTTTTCTCTTTTTCCTCTCATAGTCAGACATGTTCTTTTTTTTTCTTTCTACTCCTCAAATTCCTCTTTGCCACAAACCTGTTGAAAGAGCTGTCTACATTAGCTGCTTCCAAGTTTTCACTTCCATTCTTACTTTAATCAGTTGCATTCTGGCTTCTGACCCTACCTTGGCCTGAATCAGTTTATGTCACTGTCACTAATACCTGCCCCCCCCTTTTTCTTTCTTAGTTTTTTTCTTTTTCTTTTTTTTTTTTTTTTTTAAGACAGAGTCTTTAAAAAGTCTGTTGCTCTGTTGCCTAGGCTGCAGTGCAGTAGTGGTGTGATCTTGGCTCAGTGCAACCTCCACTTTCCAGGTTCAAGCAATTCTCTTGCTTCAGTTTCCCAGTAGCTGGAATCAAGGTGAGTCATGCTGGGCGTGACTCATCTTGCCCAGCATCCCCTTGCTAAAACCCATGGACTCTTCTCTAGCCCCATCTAATTGTACCTTGCAGCAGCTGCAGGAGCCATGGCACTCACTTCCTCCTGTGCATGCTGTTTAATGCAGCTCTTTCTTGAGTCCCGGGATATCAGACCCCTGGGTTCCCTTCTCCCTCTCCAGATGCTCCTCCATCTCTTCAGACTTACCTGTAGGAGTCACCTAAATGCTTTTGCTCCTCGGCCCTATCCTGGGCCTCTTCTCATTTCACAGGCTCCCAGGACCTCATCCACCCTCCCCAAATCCCTGTCTCCCATTCACATCTCTCTTGTGGAAGCAGGGGAGGCCACTCCCAACTGTTCTTTGGATATTTCCACCTAAAGCACCCAAGCCCTTCAAGCTCAACAAGTCCAGAGCTAATCTGCTGATCCCCCACCTCTCCTCAACACCGGCTGCACAGCCTGAGTTCCAGACAGTGGAGGGCATCACAGGCACCCAACTCCAACCTCTCCCTCCGCCCCACATCCAGTCTCCCAGCAAGTCCTAAGAATCCAGGTTCTAAATATCTGTGAAATCACTCCCATCTCTAACTCTACCACCAGAATAAATCCACATCCAAGTGGTTGTTGTCTCTTGCCTGGATTAAGGCAAACACATCCCAGTTAGTCTCCTCCATATCTCCCGCATGCGCTCCCTCAGCGGGCCATGTGTCTAAGCCACATACATACTTATATGTTGAAAGCCCATCCTGATTCTGGCTGCCCTAGGCCAACTCCATGCTTTCTGTGTGGCTGTTAACCCCTCTGCAGTAAGTATGCTTCCTCTCTTCCCTCACCATTGTAGCCATCCCGGTCGAGGTCGCCCAGGGGTGCGATGGCAGAGCCGAATCGCCCATAGAGCTGTGTGCCAGTCAGCAGGAGGCTGGGGGCACCCAGCAGTTGGGAGCCTCGGGGCTGCAGGAACAAATACACACGCCCCACTTCTGCCAGTTTTCGGTCTGCTCGGCTCTCCATGTACAGTGGAGCACCCACCAGCAGGTCATGCCTCCTGCAGGCCAGATGGGTGGTTACATGGGACTAGACCAGGGCCATGTTGGGGCTAGGGCCAGATCTCCCCTACCCTTGCTCTCCTGTTCCCCCGGTGGGCGCCTGAGAGTAGGGGCTAGGAAAGGGCAGCTCTGGGAACTGACAACCCAACTGGGTTGGAGTGGGGCATGTCCCTCCTCACCCATCCCCGTTGACGTCAGTGACAGCCACTGAGTGCCCAAAATACGAAGCCATCTGCAAGATGAGGAGCACCATCATTCACACCTCTGGACCAGCATCCTTTCTAAGAAATGGGCCTTCACCTCCTGTGAAATAGTCTGAAGTCTCAGTTCCCCATCCACCCAGCCACTCCCACTGGGACCTGGCCCCCACCTGCTCTCCGTGCAGTCGGTGCAGCCTCTGGTAGTAGGAGTCCAAAATTTCCACCTGCAGGGACAGTGCAGGCGAGAGCATCATTCCTGTTCCCAAAGCAGCCTCCCGCTCCAAGTGAGAAAGGGTGGTCAGAGGACTGGGATAAGGGGCTTCGGGATGCCCAGTGGGTGGGCACTCACGGCTCCCATGGTCCAGCTCCTAGTAGGGGCACCGACGACATACTCTGGGGAGAGGGAGAGCCAGGCTCAGGGAATGAGAGCCTTAGAACCTACACACTTCCCGCTCCCCGTTCTGCACCCAGGGAAGATTCATACGCAGGAAGATTTCCCTACACAGGGGAGATTTCAGAGAGGGGCTCCTCCCCGGGCTGGGCTCCCTAGCCCCCGCCCTGACTACGTGGATTTCTTGCCTGTAGTATTGAGATCCCCGTCGAAGTCGCCCACAGCAACCGAGTACCCTGAGGACACGGCCCAAATTAGTCTTTCCAGGGGGAGGAAGCAGGGAGGGTGCGGAGGGCAACCAAGGAGGAAGTTAAGGCTACTCAGCTCCAACTCTGCTTCGTGCAGATGGAAAAACGGAGGCCAGCGAGCGAATCAAGCCCGGCCCAGTCCGCGGCGGAAGGGGGCAGTGGGCGCAGGGGAGGTGGGCGGTTTGCGGGGAAGCGACCTAGGTGGTGGGCGGGCCAGCCGGGGTGGGCACGGAGGCTCCCGCAGCGGCAGGACCTGACTGTCTGAGGTGGGCGGTGGCCCTTGGGGTGCTGGAAGTCTGGAAGGGCGGTGTTACCCCAGTAGCCGTCGAAGTACTCTGGGTTGCTGGAGTCGAAGGAGAAGCTCTGGGAGGACACGTGCCACAAAAGGGTGCCCGGGCGGTAACTCGAGAAAATATTCGCAATTGGAGCCTGGGACAGGAGACCTGGTGCGGGAGGAACAGGGGGTGTGGGGCCCAGACACCGGGGGTCTCCCCGGGCCGCGAGAAGGGAGGGAGGTGTTCGGATGGGCACGTACCTAAGAAATAATAGCCGCCAGGAGCCCCAAGCACTAGCTCCCCAGCCTGGAAGGGAAGCCCTGACGGTGAGAGGGGGCCCTGTGTGCGGGCCGCCCCCACTCCACTTTTGCTCCCTACTTGCCTGAGTGACCACGGAGCTGAAGCCCGCTTCACAGTAACGCCGGTCCCCGCCTGCGGGAGGCAAGGAGAAGGGGACAGTCAGCGCAGGGGTGGAGGGAGGCGCGCGAGTCTGGAGGAGGGCGGGAGGGATCCTGCAGGGGCGGGTCCTGGGACCGGCGGGGCCCCGGGGCGAGGCCAGATTTAAAGCCCGGGCTGCGGCGCCGGGGGCAGGATCCGATGTAGGGCGGGGCTAGGGCGTCGCGAGTGGGCGGGGCCAGGTCGCGGGGGGCTCTTACTGAAATCATTTTCCAAGTAAACGCGGCTCAGGGTGTTTCCGCGACACGGGGAATACTCGGCTCGGCGGCCGCTCTGCGGCTGAGCCAGAAAGCAGCCGCCTACCGGCGTCTTTTCAGCCTCCTCAGTCTTTTCTAGGACGTTCCAGTGTTGCCAGGGGGCGCAGGCCTGGAGAAAGGCCACAGAAGAGTGGGGACGGGCGCGAGACTTGGGCTCATCCCGGCCCCACGTGTTCCTGCCCCCGACCTTTCCCTGTGCCCTGTACGGCGGGGCCCACCACAATGGTGTCGCTCCAGCTGACGACCGACGCCCCCAGTCCTTGGCAGGCCTTGAAGGTTTGTAAAGTCTGGGAGCCTACATATCGGGTCTCATCACCTGGAGGGAACAAGAAGGGGTGGGGCGCTGAAGCCGGACAGTCCACGTCCCTCTGGCCCCTCCCTTGCCCTCTTTGCCTGGGACTCACGGAGGTCAAAGAGCAGCGAGGAGCACTGGCCGCCCTCGGCCCTCCAGGGGCACAGGAACACGCCGCCCGTCTCCTCCTGGCTGGGGCCCAGGGTCCGCGGGGCGCCCACCACGATGGCCACTCTGCACAGGAAAGCTGGGTGAGCGCCGCGCAGATTCCGGCGTGTCCCGGGCCCTGGCGCCTGCGCTGGGGGCACGGCCCTGAAGGCGATGTGGCATGAAGGCACTGGACCATCTTTCCTCAGTGACACTTCACAGACCACCGAGACATACTTCTTCATCTTATGGACAGTGAAACTGACTCTCAGCGAGGGTACTCTCGTGCCTAAAGTAACCCAGTGAGTTGAGAGTAAAGCTGGGACTATATAACCATTTGAACACCGGGAGTTTGAGATCTTTGCTGAAAAAGACCTAAACTCTGTACACTATCTCCATCATTCCACCCACAAGAAAAACCAGGCGTTCACATGATCCCCTGAACGCCTGTCTAGCCTGTTACCAGATTCTCTCTTTAGAGCTGGTTTTAATGAGGGAAGGTAGAGTGTATCTCTAAAGCGGGGGTTACTTGTGTGTGTTGATAGAGATGAGGACTACCAGATCTAGGTTTAAATCACAATTCTGCCATACCTGCAATAGGAATACCAACTTCACAACCAATGACTGGTTTTCACAACCAATCAATGCTGTCAGGAGTAAATGTAATAAATATGAGTGATGGTTAGCATGGTCTCAGACAAACACATAACAAACGCTCTTGAAACAATGTTATAATTTTTTTTTTTTTTTTTGAGATGGAGTTTCGCTCTTGTTACCCAGGCTGGAGTGCAATGGCGCCATCTCAGCTCACCGCGATCTCTGCTCACCGCAACCTCTGCCTCCTGGGTTCAGGCAATTCACCTGCCTCAGCCTCCTGAGTAGCTGGGACTACAGGCACGCGCCACCATGCCTAGCTAATTTTTTGTATTTTTAGTAGAGACGGGGTTTCACCATGTTGACCAGGATGGTCTCGATCTGTTGACCTCGTGATCCACCCGCCTCGGCCTCCCAAAGTGCTGGGATTACAGGCTTGAGCCACCATGCCCGGCCTCAATGTTATAATTTTTAAAAATAATTTTGTCGTTTTGTTTTGAGACAGGGTCTCATTCTGTTGCCCAGCTGGAGTGCAGTAGCATGATCATGGCTCACTGTGGCCTTGACTTTCAGGACGCAAGCGATCCTTTCCCCTCAGCCACCCGAGTAGCTGGGACTGCAGGTCTGTAACACCATGCTTGGCTAATTAAAAACAATATTTTTGTAGGCTGGGCACGGTGGCTCACGCCCGTAATCCTAGCACTTTGGGAGGCCAACGTGGGCAGATCACTTGAGGCCAGCAGTTCAAGACCAGCCTGGCCAACATGGTGAAACCCTGTCTCTGCTAAAAATATTTTTAAAATTAGCCTGGCATGCTAGAGACTTTATGGCGGGATGTTAAAAAAAAGAAAAGGAAAAAAAAAAAAAACAAAATTAGCCTGGCATAGTGGTGCATCCCTGGAGCCCCAGCCACTCAGGAGACTGAGGCAGGAGAACAGCAAGACTCTGTCTCAAAAAATAAATACATATATATATATATGTGTGTGTGTGTGTGTGTGTGTGTGTGTGTGTGTATATATATATATTTAGAAAAGAGGTCTCACTATGTCACCCAGGCTGGTCTTGAACTCCTGAGCTGAAGTGATCCTCCTACCTTGCTCTCCTAACGTGTTGGGATTACAGGTGTGAGCCTCTGTGCCTGGCCTATGATATATGTTTTAGCCTGCAGGATGTTTAAGTAGTGTCAATGGGATCACTACTTACAGGAGGGGAAAGAAGCAGGAGTGGGCACAGGAAGAAGTTGAGCTGATTCAGGCCCAATGACAATATTTGCCAACACCCCACAAGCTCTGGAGCTAGAATGATGCTTCAGAATTGTTAGAGTTGGCTGGGCATGGTGGCTCATGCCTGTCGTCCCAGCACTTTGGGAGGCCAAGGTGGGCGGATCACCTGAGGTCAGGAGTTTGAGACCAGCCTGACCAACAGGATGAAACCCATCTCTACTAAAAATATAAAAATTAGCCAGTCATGGTGGCACATGCCTGTAATCCTAGCTACTCAGGAGGCTAAGACAGGAGAATTGCCTGAATCCGGGAGGTGGAGGTTGCAGCGAGCTGAGATTGAGTCATTGCACTCCAGCCTGGGCAACAAGAGCAAAACTATGTCTCAAAAAAAAAAAAAAGAGAGAAAAAAGAAAACATGAAAAAAAATAATAAGAATAAAGAAAAAGGACTGGAAAATATAAGTAGATAATAAACCATTGAACGAGGAGAGATTTAAAAAGTAATTTCCTATTTATTACAGAAGGAGCAGAATTGAAAAAGAAAAGAATCGTCAGAGTTGATGAAAGAGGGCTGGACCCTTATCAAACACCTCTCCCACCCCCGCCTCCACCCTCCCCACTCGCCCACTTCGAATTGATCAGTCACTGTATGTGGGCCAACTTGGGAGCGGACTTTGAGGGAATGGGCTCTATTCAGCAGAGGAAATCTAAGTGGCTGACACTTGAAGACTATCTGCCATTGCCACCCCATGAAGCTGGGCACAGTGTCTTCTACAGTAGCTCAGGATACATGCTGTGAAGAGGAGGGGCCAAGACTCTAATCTTGGCACTCTTGATTCTGAAGCCTGATCAATACTAACCATTAATGACCAATTGCTTCTTTTCAAATACCTATAACCTTGATGGAGATGAGGGAAATGGAATAGAAAAGCAAGGTGGGGCAGGGCAGACAACTTTAGTTCTGCAAATTAATTTAGGACGTGTGCTCCTTTCTGCATTTCAAGGTGCTGAAGGTGGAGTGGTTCATAGAACTGACCCTTGGGGGGGAAAATAAGGCATCTTGCCTTCCCTTTGTTCTTGCTGTAGTTTCAGTGCCCATTGCCCCACCTGTGTTCCGCCCTTACACCTTCACCTGAGCCAGTCCCCTTGACCCCATCATTCTTGACAAGAAATCAACCTGAATAGGCCCCAGAAGTCACCTGGCTCAACTGCTATCACAAATGGGAAACTTGGAGACCCAGCAGAAGTGACGGGAGGGGTCCTGCTCTATCCCAATACCCGAACTGCCCTCACAGCTCACCTCCCATGGCTGTCCTTGTGGAAGTCCAGTGAAAATCCAAAGTGGCTGCCATTGGGGCCTGCATAGTAGGTGAGCTGCACTGGGTCCAGGTTCAAGGCCCAGGCTGGAGGGGAAGCACAAGGCCCCAAGAGCAGCAGCACCCATTCTAGAAGCCAAAGGGCTTGCAGTGGACACAAAGCCATCTTCCTTCTTCCACAACCTCCCAGGCAGGAATGGGCCAGCTCCTCCTTCTTCCCTTCAGATTCCTCCACAGGAAGTCTTTTCTTATCAAACTGGAAACTGAAGTAACTTGCTGAGCAGTGGGCAGAGTAAAGGGTTGTAGCCCCTGGACTCATGGTCGCTAGGATCGCCAGGAAGTGGGTGAGGCCACCCAGAGTGTGGGTGTTCATGGCTGAAAGTCATGACTCCTCCTTTTTCCTGAGACTAGTTTATTACCAAGTCCTGTTGGTTCTGTCTCTCAATGATGTCTCTTGAGTCTTTACCCCATCTCTACTACCACCATGCTAGTCCAAGCCATCGTCACTTTCTGCTTGGGATAGCATGACTGTGAACTAGTCTGTACCTGTCTAGAATAGCCTGCTAGGTTCTAATCTCTTCCCTTCCCCCATCTGGCTATACAGCTGTGGTGCTTTGTGACTTGACCAGAGGTTGGGGAAGGAGAAGGAAACTGCTGTCCCTGATAAAACCTGAGGCTGCTTTATCTTTTTAGATATGGCATTTACCCACTTCCTCCTTCTAGGACCTTGGGCAGCCTCAACCAGCCATACTGGCGCAGTAGCTTCCTCACTCCTCCTCCATCTTGAGCCAAACTTTAATGTGGTCACAGCAGTGCAGTCAGTGCTGGGGACAGGGTGGTGAGTGGACCTTGGTGGAGGTGGCAGGAGATTGGGGATAAAGTGGAGTCATTCCAGGGAATTTTGGCTCACAAGCTCTGAGATTATGCGTTAGCTGTTCAGTAGGCCCTCACTCCTTTTTGGGTGACGGAGTTCTTTTCTAACCGTTAAGACTTGATTCTGGTTGGGTTCTTTGCCTAAGGGAGCCTTTCCCAACTCCTCAGGCTGGCCACGGGGGCTAACACACTTAGGCACAGCATTGAGCCACTGTTTACACATGGTCTGTTCACAGGATTGAGTCCCTTGAGAGCAAGGCTCCTTGCTACAGCCCTAGAGACTACCCAAGAGTCCAACGTGTCGTACGTATGTTGCTTAAAGACTGAATAGAAACGCACTAAGGATGGAAGATGCAAACATAGGGTGACAAAGTGAAGAGATGAGTTTTGAGCAGAAAGGCAAAGTCATTTTCTGTGGTTAAGCGGAAAGAGGAGGAGTGCCAAGTCTTACTGGCACTCATGCCTTCCCAAAAAAGCAGGTTCTCAGGAAGATTTAAGGTCTGCTAGGGGTAAGGGACCATAGCCACATTTTCCTTTTGATTTCTATTTTCTGACCAAACTTAACTATTGCCGTATCCTGCTCAACCAACCTGCGCCATTTTGAAGTCTCCTCATACTCACTGCCTCAGCATAGAGCTAAGAATCTTAACCTTTATAGGACAGGAAGCTAAAACTCTGAACTTTGGTCTGGGCCTTTTTTTTTTTTGAGACGGAGTTTCGCTCTCGTTACCCAGGCTGGAGTGCAATGGCGCAATCTTGGCTCACCGCTACCTCCACCTCCTGGGTTCAGGCAATTCTCCTGCCTCAGCCTCCCGAGTAGCTGGGATTACAGGCGCGCGCCACAACGCCCAGCTAATTTTTTTTTTGTATTTTTAGTAGAGACGGGGTTTCACCATGTTGACCAGGATGGTCTCGATCTCTTGACCTTGTGATCCACCCGCCTCGGCCTCCCAAAGTGCTGGGATTACAGGCTTGAGCCACCGCGCCCAGCCGGTCTGGGCCTTCTTCATTGCTGAGTTACCAGTGTCAAGTTCATGGAAGACATGTAATGTATCTGCTAGAATAAACCAGTTCTCTACTTACCCTCCATCCTCCCCCTGTCCTCAAGTGAGTGACTGCTGTATTACTGGGGTATTCTATGAGCCCATATATTAACTCACATGTCACTCAAGTTTTCAATAAGTATTTACTCTGTTTAAGGCACTGTGTAGATAAAGGATACAAAGATAACCATCAGGCCAGGTGCGGTGACTCTTGCTTGTAATCCCAGCACTTTGGGAGGCTGAGGCGGGAGGATGGCTTGAGCTCAGGTGTTTGAGACCAGCCTAGGCAATACAGTGAGACCTCGTATCTATTTTTAAATTGTAAAAATAAAATATTTTAAAAACTCTGGGCCAGGTGCAGTGGTTCATACCTGTAATCTCAGCACTTTGGGAGGCCAAGGCAGGCAGATCACGAGGTCAGGAGTTCAAGACCAGCCTGACCAACATTGCGAAACTCCATCTCTACTAAAAATACAAAAATTAGCCAGGGGTGGTGGTGCCTGCCTGTAATCCCAGCTACTCCAAAGGCTGAGGCAGGAGAATTACTTGAACCTGGGAGGTGGAGGTTGCAGTGAGCCGAGATCTCACCACTGTACTCCAGCCTGGGCGACAGAGCAAAACTCTGCCTCAAAAAACAACCAACCAACCAAACTACCCAACGATAACTATCAAGGAGCCTTAAGAAATAGCCCAGAAAGAGTTAAGACATGAATACACATAACTGCAGCAAAAGGACAGTAAAGCATGCCTTGAAAAATATAGATTATCAAAATCATATATCATTGTTCCTCATAACAACCCTAGGAAATAAGTACTATTTTGCCTATTTTATAACACAAAAACTGTGGCACAAGAGTTTTTAGGTAAATTGCCCATATTTACACAGCTAACAGCTGGCAAAACTAGGATTCAAACCCGGGTTGCACTTGAACCCATGTTCAAGTTGCCTTTTGTCAGAGAATGAATGGGTTTTTAGGCATAGAGAATACATGAGAGCAGCAAAGGAACACAGAGGTCAATTATGGGGAAGGACAAGTAGTTGACTCAGTGTAGTAGAGTGCTTAAAGGGGTGGACTGAGGTGCAAGAGGGAAAGGAAGGCTTCACTGGAGGTCCTTCAATGCCATATTAAGGAATCTGAATTTTAATCCATGGGAGATGGAAAATCATAAAGATTTTGGCTAGGCAAGGTGGCTGATGCCTGTAATCCCAGCACTTTGGGAGGCCGAGGCGGGCAGATCACAAGGTCAAGAGATCGAGCCCAACCTGGCCAACATAGTGAAACCCCGTCTCTACTAAAAATACAAAAATTAGCCGGGTGTGGTGGTGCCTGCCTGTAATCCCAGCTACTCCAGAGGATGAGGCAGGGGAATCACTTGAACCTGGGAGGCGGAGGTTGCAGTGAGCCGAGATCTCACCACTGCACTTCAGCCTGGGCAACAAAGTGAGACTCTGTCTCAAGAACAACAATAAAAAAAAAAAAAAAGCCCAGGCGCAGTGGCTCAAGCCTGTAATCCCAGCACTTTGGGAGGCCGAGGCGGTGGATCACGAGGTCAAGAGATCGAGACCATCCTGGTCAATATGGTGAAACCCCGTCTCTACTAAAAGTACAAAAAATTGGCTGGGCATGGTGGCGCACACCTGTAATCCCAGCTACTCGGGAGGCTGAGGCAGGAGAATTGCCTGAATCCAGGAGGTGGAGGTTTCGGTGAGCCGAGATCACGCCATTGCACTCCAGCCTGGGTAACAGCAGCGAAACTCCGTCTCAAAAAAAAAAAAAAAAAAGAAAGGAAAAAAAAAAAAGAAAATCAAAGATTTTTAGGGCAGGTGTGGTGGCTCATGCCTGTAATCCCAGCATTCTGGGATGCCAAGGTGAGGACTGCTTGAAGCCAGGTGTTTGGGACCAGCCTGCACAAGATAGTGAGACCTTGTCTCTACAAAAAAATAAAAATTAGGCAGCCATGGTGGTGCACACCTGTAGTTGCAGGTACTGCAGAGGCTGAGGGAGGAGAATCACTTAAGCCCAGGACTTTTAGGTTACAGTGAGCTATAATCTTGCCATTACACGCCAGCCTGGGCAAGAGTGAGACTATATCTTAAAAACATTTTTTTGAGGGGGTGGCTCACACGTGTAATCCCAACACTTTGGGAGGCCAAGGTGGGCAGATTGCTTGAGGCCAGGAGTTCAAGACCACCCAGGCCAACATGGCGAAAACCCATCTCTACTAAAAATACAAAACTTAGCCAGGTGTGGTGGTGGTGTACACCTATAATCTCAGCTGCTTGGGAGGCCAAGGAAGGATAATTGCTTGAACCCGGGAAATAGAGGTTACAGTGAGCTGAGATTAGGCCTCTGCCCTCTGCCTAAGCAACAGGCACTTGGTCTCAAAAAAATATATTTTTTTAAATATCACAGGGTAAGAGATTTAATGATCAATTATGCTTCAATGTGGAAGATTACAGTGGCTGCCTGCCTGTGGATAGAATGAACTAGAAAAGGAAGGACTTAGTGGGAAGACCAGATGGGTAATGACTGCAGTTCTCTGGGTTCAAGGTGGTGAGGCCAGGGTACTGGTGGCAAGAACAAAACAGCAGAGATTATGGAATCAGTAAATAGATTTAGAGGGAAGGTGTCAAAGGTAATTTGAAGCTTTGGTGCCTGGCTGGCAGGACAGTGGTACTACAAACTACAATTGGAAACAGGTGGAGGGAGGATCAGATTTGGGAAGGGAAACGAGTTTGCTACCCAATACGGATTGTGTTCCTTTGTTGTCAGAGCTGTGTTGATCTCCCTCCTGAAACTGGGCAGAGGAGTGTTGACAGAATCCTATAATTCTACAGTGAGTTCAGGTAAGGCTTCATCTAGTCAACAATTAGTGAGCTTCTATGATATGCCTGGCACTAAGTGATGTGAAGGTTAAATTTTTAAAAATAATTAAAAAAAATTTTTTTGCCTCAATCCTGAAGCACAATCTTCAGTTAATGGTATTTGACTTGGTTTATATTCCTTTTTTTTGAGACAGGGTCTCGCTCTGTCACCCAGGCTGCAGTGCAGTGAGCTGATCACAGCTCACTACAGATATGACCCCTAGACTCAAGCAATCCTTCCACCTCAGCTTCATGAATAGCTGGGACCACAGGAATGTGTCTCCATACCTAGCTAATTTAAAAATTTTTTTGTAGAGATGGGGTCTTTCTATGTTACCCAGGTTGGCCTCGAATTCCTGAGCTCAAATGATCTTCCCACCTTGGCTTCCCAAAGTCCTGGGATTATAGGCATGAGCCTGGCCACTTTGCTCATATTCTTGATCATATAATCAAATGTTTACTATTTACTCAGTGTGAGATACACTGAGTATAAGTGAATATAAGAATCACTCCCAGCTGGGCGCAGTGGCTCAAGCCTGTAATCCCAGCACTTTGGGAGGCCGAGGTGGGCGGATCACGTCAAGAGATCGAGACCATCCTGGTCAACATGGTGAAACCCCATCTCTACCAAAAATACAAAAAAAAAATTAGCTGGGCATGGTGGCATGCGCCTGTAGTCCCAGCTACCCGGGAGGCTGAGGCAGGAGAATTGCTTGAACCCGGGAGGCGGAGGTTGCAGTGAGCCAAGATCGCACCACTGCACTCCAGCCAGGCTCCTGGCGACAGAGCGAGATTCTGTCTCAAAAAAAAAAAAAAAAAAAATCACTCCCTGTTCTCAGAGATCACAATTTTACTGGGAAGCAGTGAATACAAAATGAGTTGCATTCAGATTCTGAAAAGCCAGTAAGCTTACACAGAACAGGGAATTAGGTCCTAGTCAGGGAAGCCACCCAGAAAAATGCTGCAATAATTGAGATATGAGTTGGTAGAAGTGAGTGAAGCTATCTCTGGCAAATAAAAAGGGAAATGGCTGATAAGGCCTGAATTAGTCAAGGGTGTAGAAGAGGGAGTACTTCATGTTTCAGGCCAAGGTGGATGAGGCCTTGTCAGAATGCAATTCATTGCACATACCTTCACATAACACTCTATACAGTTCAGTCTGTCTCTGACTTGTCACCTCCCCTGCTCCCAGAAAATCATTTTTTTTTTTGAGACAGAGTCTCACTGTCACCCAGGCTGGATGTGCAGTGGCATAATCTCAGCTAACTGTAACCTTCACCTCCCACATTCAAGTGATTCTCCTGCCTCAGCCTCCTGAGTAGCTGGAATTACAGGCATGCACCACTATGCCCGGCCAAGTTTTTTTTTTTTTTTTAATTTTTAGTAGAGACGGGGTTTCACCATGTTGGCCAGGCTGATCTCAAACTTCAAGTGATCAACCCGCCTTGGCCTTCCAAAGTGCTGGGATTAGACATGAGCCACCACCCCTGGCCTCATTTTTCATTTTCTAATGTCATTGTGTGTGTGTGTGTGTGTGTGTGTGTGTGAGAGAGAGAGAGACAGGGTCTTGCTCTGCTGCCCATGCTGGAGTTCAGTGGTGCGATCCTGGCTCAACCTCCGCCTCCTGGGTTCAAGTGATTCTCCTGCCTCAGCCTCTCAAGTAACTGGGATTACAGGTGTGCACCACCATGCCCGGCTAATTTTTGTATGTCTAATGTCACTTCTTTCTGGGTAAGGATCTTTGCTATTTTGGGAATACAGGCAGATCTGAGCATTCAACCCCAGGTTCAAGTTGAACAGCTTCTCTTTAATCAAGGGGAGAACACAGGTGTATGAGAGAGTAGAAAAGAAATGTATCAAAAGAAAGAAAGGCTTTCCTTCTTGAAGGGCTGAAGTTGAGAGGGAAAACTCATTTATCACTACAAATCTATGGTAGCTTTCCATGCTAAATTTTGCCTGCCTCTTTTGTGATTTTTTTTTGAGATGGAAGAAGAGTAGGAGCTTTATCTTCTTAGTAACAATTAGGCCGTATTTCTTTTCACCAGGTAGAGGTGCTCAAACATTGTAGTGGTATTAAAAGGCTGAGGAGAGAAACTGAAGACTGGCTTACAGAACTCCACCTGGAGGACAAAATCCTGGCAGATGATTCTTCTCATCTCAGTGCTTTTAAAGTAGTTCAAAATCCTAAAATTCAATGCCAGAAATTCCACACCCATTTAGTAAGCACCTATATATACACTACTACACACAGATTAGCTATCTAAAATGGAAGAAAACTCTTGTGTGAAAGACGAAGTGGAAAGGAGGTGTACATTCCAAGACATCTACCTACAACTGAGAGAAATTAACTACTATTACCTCCTCCCACACCAAGATCTTTCCTCTCTTTGTGTAGCCTAAGCTTTCAGACGCACAACTGCAAACAACTCAAACTGGTTCACAGGATCTGTTCCTTGGTCACTTCAAACAAGATGTTATTTCTGACCCACACTTCCAACCCTACCCAGTGCTGAGTGGATGGGGCAACAATTACGACAGACACTGCTAAGTTTCCACAAATCATTGGTTTATTAGAAAGTTCCTTTCCCTCATTTTACAGCATATATCTCTATCATATGTGATAAAGTTAAATACAATCTGTTATGCTTGTAAGTAAGGATAGGTTATTTTGTTTGTTTTTTTAAGTTTTAAAATCACTATTCTGGAAGTTAAGGAAAATGCCCCTAGGAAGGCAAAGAGGCAGCCAGAGTATGGCTCAATCTACAAGCTAATGGGAAGCAGCACAAAATGTTAATACTGTATTATTTAAATATTTACATGGGCTGAAAGCAAAGAAAAATGAGTCCCTTCAATTACACAGATGATGTTGCTTTTCCAGTGCTAGTTATCCAAGAAGTGATGCTTCTGAATCAGACGAGGAGCACTGAATAGGTAGGAGGGTGGGAGGGCAGTCAAGAGTTGTGTTTGCCTGGCACTTTCTTCTCATAAACTCAAAACCTTTCTCTTTTGAGAATTTGAGAAGGCAGGAACACAGAGCCTTAGCCCAGGTAAGTGAAGTTTTTCTTACCAAGTGACCACCCAGCCAATTCTAGCTACACGAATAGTTAGGAAAATGCCACAGAGGGAATTGTTAAACTCATCAAAGGAGATGGAACCTGCAATACAAGCACCTTTGGGTCAGTGTGTTAATTAGGGCTGAGGGCCTGGATGAAAGGCAAGGAGAGGGGTGAAAGAGGCTTAGGTGGTAATTACGCTGGTCAGTGTCATGGGAGAAAAGAAACAAGGAACGTTTACTGCTTAAACTGAGCTGGGCAGAGGACGTGGAAACTATGAAGCAAAATAATTTGAAGTATCTATAAATGTGCTCACCTCCCAATAAAAGGAAGAAGACTGTTCCAACTCATCCTCCAGTCTACTTCTACTTCGGTTTCTAACAACCCAAAAGGCACATTAAAAAAAAAAAAAACTGTCAGAGGAGGCTAAGTACTAGGAAGGCAAACAGACTGACTGCCTGGAACAAGTTACTCAGGGAAACCCAGGATCCCCCCAGAAAATCACGGCATGTCACTGCAGTGAGATTCAGTCAATAAAGCTGTTGAGTCCCCTCCTTCTCTTCTGTGGGGTCCACTGGCTTCTCTGTGTAAAACAACAAAAGTACCCAAGGGAGACTGTCAAAGATGAGCCTCCCTTGGAAGCCCCAAGCTGACCGCTGCCCATTAGCTCAAAAATCCCAATACTGGGGGCACTACTTACTACAAATTACTTAACATTTTGTCCCAACAAAAAATGTTTTAACATTTTATAGTTCTTAACTTCAAAAAATACAGGAGCTTGGTAAAATATACATGCTTAGTCACTTTTGCACCTAGCAGAAAACAAATACTTTTATTTTTTGTTTTCATTTTATAACCTTTAAAGTTTCTTAATTCAACTAAGGCAAACATATTTACACAAAGCCACCAGAACGAGGATCACTTAAAGAGCTGGATGTAAAAAATATTATTGCAGTATACTACAAATATGGAACCTTTCTTATATGAGCTACAAAAAGCAGCATTTACGTTTATAGAGTTCAGTGCAATTTTTTACATTAAAAAATCCTATAAATTAAAAAGGAAACATCAACACAACAAGAAAATATACCCTTCACTTCAGACACATGAACTCCTCTCTGGGAAAGCACATGGGCAACTGTATATTCCGCAGAGCTTCTATTCATGATAGGATCTCCTTTTCTGGGATATGGAGATGCCTCCTCTGGAGTGAGGGACATCAGGATAACAGTGCCAAATGTGTGGCTCCATTTATGTGGGGCTGGATCGAATTGCAGCCTGAGTTGCATCAGGTTCCAGGTCAGACTCCCTTTCCATCTCACCTGGGGTAACATAAGGTCACCAAGGATGGTCAAAGATACTACCCCAAAGTGGTGGCACTTTCACCACGAGAACAACTTGGCCTTCCTTGTGGCACTGAGAAGGCAAGATCAGACGGGCCCACAGCAAGTGCTTTGGTGACAACCCACTGCCCAGAGAGGAGGAAAATGTTTAAAAATTTACAGAAGGGAAGAGCAGAGGATAAAAAGCAAAAGGAGGAAGGAATTATCTAAACTTGACAGTTAGGAGATGTTGCTGCAGAGGGGTGGGTAGCACTTACTGGTGTTCCCTAGCTTGGAAACACAGGAGAGGGAGAGACAAATTGAGAGGATGACAGGAAAAAAGAAATCCCTGATAGTAAACTCAAAGCAAACTTCAAATCTAAACCCACCCCTGCAAGCCAAAACTCAATTCTTTGGCTGCCAGACACTGCCCATCCCAGCTTCTATTTGCTGGTATTAATGGCTCAACACCCCCAAGGGAACATTTATGGTTCTCCTTCCCTGGCCCTACATAGGATCCCATCCCCAACTCATGTGCCATGGCTGGGAGGATGCTGCAGGTCCTGACCTGAGAAGATGGGGTGAAGTAGTGGGTGAAGGTGGAGGGCGGTGGCAGCTGCTGCAGCAGGCCGTGGGGCAAGTAGGGTGGGGTAGAGGGCAGCATGTGGGACAGGGTGAAAGGTGAACGGCCCAGGATGGATGGCTGAGGCAGGAATGATGTGGATGGGATGGCTAGCGAGAAAGGTGGCAGGGTGGCCAGGGATGATTGAGTGAGTGAGGTGGGACAAGGAAATGGGAGTCAGATGGGGCTGGGGAATATGATGCACCTGGGCAAGTGGTTGGGGATGGGGGTGGGGGTGAATGCCAATGGCAGCAGCAGCTGCTGCAGCATGATGTTGTAGGATGGCATGCTGAACAGTTGTGATGGAGGTGGCAGAGGCTGTAGCTGGCTGCTGAATGTGGATGGGCTGCAGGGCTGGTGTGGCTGGGGCCAGCGCAGCTGAGGCTGGAAAGGCCTTTACTTGCTTGGCCAGAAGCTGCTGTTGGATGTGTTGCTGTGCAGCCTGTTGGAGCTTGCTGTACTTCTCCATCTCCTCAGGGGTGAAGGTGATGGGCTGGCTCTCCAGGGGGGCCAGTGAAGCATCCTCAGCCCCATCTGTTGACTCAATACTAGGATCTCCACTGGGAGGCACATAACTGGCAAAATGCTCAAGGTCTGGTGCTATAGGCAGCAAGCTGGATTCCAGAGGGCCTGGTTGACTGCTGCTATCCAGGGACTCCAGGGTGTCTCCGTCACTGGGGTCGGGGAGGTAGTTAAGGGAGATGGTTGGGTCCCCAGGGTAGCAGTCAGAGTGTGCTGGGGTGCCTAGCGGAGCCACAGGGTGATCAGCAGTAGCTTCTTCAGACTTTGGCTCTTCTGGAGGTGGCTCTGATAAGGGGCCAGTTGTTTCCTCTGAAGGGAACTGATGCCCAAAAAGGGGATCACTACTCCCTGTGGGCCCTTCTTCCATCTCTGACTGTTCTTGCTCTTCCCCCCTTTCCAAGCCAGACTCTTCACATTTTTTGTTGGGCTTTCGGGTAGCTGGGAGCTTCCCTATCAGTGGAAGGATAGGTTTATTGCCAAGAGATGGGGGGAGCTTGGGCCCAAAGTAACCTTGTGGGGGATCTTTGAGCTTGGGCCCAGCTTTATTAGGGGTGGTCTGCACCTCCTCACTCACGCTAGGTTTCCTCTCCACTTTCTTTGACTGGATCTTCTCCAGTAGCAGTTTGGCAGTGACAGAGTTCTTGTCTTCAGGACTGCAGTCGCTTTCTGACCCTCTTCCTGTGCCAATGTTGCTGTTTTGGGTAGGTGGACCTGTCCCTTTACTGTCATCTCCTCTGCCATCATCTTTCTTCCCGGGACCTTCTCCCCGGCCTGATCGGAAATAGTGGGGGGACTGGGAGCGATAGATCTTAGAACGAATGAAGTCCCGACGCCCAGAATGCCTCTCCTCAGGGCTCTCGTGACCCCACGATCCCTTCCTGGAGCCTGATCTCTGGGAAGGGCTCCTGGTGCTGCGGCTGCGGTCCCGGCTATAGCTCCGGCTCCTTTGCCAGCTGTGGGCTGTAGTGCTACGGCTTCTCCGCTTGCTCCGACTACGACTACAACTACTGCTGCGGCTGCGGCCCCGGGATCTTGAGCGCTCTCTGGTATGACTCCGAGATCGGCTTCGGGACTGGCTGCAACTGAGGCTATAGTCATCATCAGAAGACGAATATTTGTGCCGTTTGGATCGGTGTTTGGAGCTGGCATAGTCTGAGTCATCTGAGTCATGGGAACGTTTGGAGTGCCTTCGTGATCGGTCACTATAGTCACTGTAGCTGTCATCAGAGTAACTGCGCTGTCTACTATAGCAGCTCTGGTCTGAGGAGGCATCTGAGCTACTTGAATAAGAACGCCGGGAGGAACGATGTGAGGAATGGCGCCGGCCAGACCTCGAGCGGCTTCGGGAATGCTCACTGCCTGAATCTTCCTCCTCTTCCTCACTGTACTGGGATGGAGACTTCTGGTGTAGCCGGTGTGATGAAGCATCATCACTATCTTCATCTCCACTACTGGGTTGGCTCCGATGGCTAGACCGGCTGCTCCGTTTGGTGCCTGCTCTTCGCTGGCAGGATGAAGATGGAAGTTCACCTTTGTGTTTCCTCCCACCATGGTCTTGGGAGCTGCTACCGCCCCCACCTTCATCCTTTTTGCCACTGCTCCCCTCTTCAGCTGGGAGGGATCTTCGCTGGGAGTCATCTTGAGCTCGCCGCCGTCTTCTTGGTGGTGCAGGACTGCCACTCCCAGGGGGTTCTGGTTTAGGTCCTCGTTCAGACTCTGCTGGGGCTGATGACTTATTCTTCTTTCGTTTTCGTTTCTTGCGCTTCTTAGATTTCTCCCCTGATTCTGCCTTAGAGCTTTTCTCTTCTGTGTCAGCCTTGTGTTTACGTTTGTGTTTGCTGGATTTTTTGTGTTTCTTTTTCTTTTTATGCCGGTGGGACTTCCCAGATCGTTCTTTCTTGCTGGGAAGGCTTCTCCCTGTGTCTTCTGTCTCAGACCCATGGCTACCCACAGGCTCCTGCTTGTTCAGGCTGCTACAGGCAGACCCTGAAGCAGGTGCATCCATTCTGCCTCCTGAGGAATGTACTATTTTCTCTCCACCCCCTTCCTTGTTTTTATTTGGCTCACCAGGATCTAGGCCTTGGAGATGATCCTTTGAGGAGCTTCCAATATCCTTTGGCTTTTCTGTCCCTTTAGTTCTGGCATCTTTGTTCCTTGAAAGTTTAAAGTCAAAATATAAAGGGTTACAACTGTATGAAATGGATGGTTCTGCCTTGGTGAAAATTAATAGTTCTGATGGCCACTGGAGGGCAGTGCTTTCATCTTTGCTCAAAACTGGGAAAAAGGGACCAGTAGGATGTTTGGGTCCTTCTTGGCTTTCTTTCCCTGCTGGGGTGGCCAGAGAGGTTTCTTTGGAAGAGTTGGACTCACACATTTGGGTCTCTGAAACCTTCTGACTATGACTCTCTGAACTTCGATTACTTAAATCCCCTCCTAAGGCTTTCTTTGCCTCAGTTTTGCTTCCCGGTTCTGAGGGCTCGGTCATCCTGGTTTCCTTTGGCTGCTCAGAGACTTCACTAATAGTCTTTTCTGCTTCTTGGCTTGCTGCCACCTTGATGCAGCTTTTAGGCTTGGGAGAACTGCCTTTTTTACTCTCTGGGGCATTCTTTGGGTGTGTACTATTATCACCTTCCATTTGTTCACTGGCTCTCATAAAAAGTAGGAAGGGAAAATTAGGTTTTACTTTGCAGTGTGCTGGGGGGATGTAGTGGTAATACTCGGGCTCTGTAGCCCCAGCTCCTTCTTCTCGCTTCATCCTTTTTAATTTGGATAATGTTGAGGCAAGGGACCCTCCATCCTGAGGGTCTTCATCCTCTTTTTTACCATCAAGATTACTGCTACCATCAGAGTCTCCTACCTTCTGCAGTACGTGGTCAGAACCCTTCTCATCAGGTTTTGTTCCATCTTCAGAGGTCCCTTCCTCCACGTGGTCCTTGAAAACTGATGCTATCGATTCAAGTTTGACAGGAGCCTTCTTGGCAAAAGAAAATGACACTCCCAATTTTTGCAATGGGGTCCCCAGATTATTCTTAATGCCAAAGCTGATGCCTTGGGAGGCTGACCCAGGAGGCTGTGCCAATCCAGTGGTATTAGTGATTTGTACTGCAGTGAAAGGGCCTCCTTTATCTGTGGAGAATTCAGATCCCAGGGCACAAGAGGCAGTGGCACCTGTGCCACTATTTGTAGCTGATTCATCCTTATCATCTTCTCCACCTTCTTCATCTACAGCCACTGTGGTTGGTCTGAACATGGGACCACTTCCAGGTGCACTACACGACGATTTATAAAAATAAAAAACAAACAAAAAACAGGTTTAGGAGTACATTTCATAAACCTTATAAAATACTCATCTCTTATATACTATCATTCATTATAGGGAGGTCTCAAAGACAGTGAGTGGTGGTTATATTCCCGAGCCCTATACTAACAAATGCGATTTTCTCAGAGAAGGTTAGGCAAAGACTCATTCTGTTAACCTACCAAACTAAATTCCCAGGGCCAGCCAGTTATTGCTGTTTCATCTTAAGCTGTCGAATGTACAAAAAGCAGGGCTTGGTGGCTCACGTCTGTAATCCCAGCACTTTGGGAGGCCAAGGTGGGCAGATTGCTTGAGGTCAGGAGTTCGAGACTAGCATGCCAACATAGTGAAACCCTGTTTCTACTAAAAATACAAAAATTAGGCCAGGAGCAGTGGCTCACGTTTGTAATCCCAGCACTTTGGGAGGCTGAGGTGGGCAGATCACTTGAGATCAGGAGTTTGTAACCAGTCTGGTCAAATGGTGAAACTCTGTCTTTACTAAAAATACAGAATTGGCCGGGCGTGGTGGCACACACCTGTAATCCCAGCCACTCAGGAGGCTGAAGTAGGAGAATTGCTTGAACCTAGGAGATGGAAGGTGCAGTGAACCAAAAACGTGCCACTGCACTCCAGGCTGGGTGACAGACCGAGACTCTGTCTCAAAAAAAAAAAAAAAAGTACAAAAAGATTTACATCATGACTCAAATAGTCCATCATTACTATGTTTCTGATCTCATTTCTTATTCTATCATCCTATCCCTCAGTATTTTACCCAATGTATGGCTGTATATGTATTCACAAAGGTTTTGTTTCATTCAATTAAGGAAAAAATCTCGCTGGGCAAGGGTGGCTCACATCTGTAATCTCTGATTTAGGAAGCTGAGGTGGGAGGATTGCCTGAGGCCAGGAGGTCAAGACCAGTCTGGGCAACACAGTGAGACCCCACCTCTAAAAATAACAAAATCAATAAAAATTTCCCTATACTTTCAAATTTCAGTTTTAAAAAATGTGGGTATTTTTGAGTTAAACATAGAAAAGTCCACTGTGCTACTTATGGCAGGTCTGTGGTATGTCTGTCATAGAAACTAAAAAGTAAGTCCATGCCTATCTCCTGGGTACCATAACAAGCATTTGCTTTGGTTTTGTGGCAGTTTCTGGGCATTCAGTACTATGGTCACAATGTCACTGAGCACTTTCATCTTTGACAAAAGGAACACCAAGGAGCCTCGATAGTTTTAAACTGCTGCTCTTGCCTGAAAGTTTTATTTTTTAGAGATGGAGTTTAAATGTGTTGCTCAGGCTGGAGTGAAAAGTGGCATGATCATAGCTCACTGCAATCTCAAACTCTTGGCTCCATCATCCCACTTCAGCCTCTTGAAAAGCTAGGACTGCAGGTGGACATCACCATACTGGCTAATTTTATTTATTTATTTAGAGATAGTATCATTCTGTTGCTCAGGCTGAAGTGCAGTGGTGAGATCTCAGCTCACTCCTACCTTTGCCTCCAGGGTTCAAGCAATTATCCTGCCTTAGCCTCCCAAGTAGCTGGGATTATAGGAGCCCGTGCCACCATGCCGGGCTAATTTTTGTATTTTAAGTAGAGACGGGGTTTCGTCATATTGGTCAGGCTGGTCTCGAACTCCTGGCTTCAAGTGATCTGCCCACCTCGCCCTCCCAAAGTGCTGGGATTACAGGTGTGAGCCATCATGGCTGGACCATGATGGCTAATTAAAAAAAATTTTTTGTAGAGACAGAGTCTTGCTATGTTGACCAGATTTGTCTTGAATACCTGGCCTCAAGAGATCCTCCTGTCTCTGCCTCCCAGAGTGCTGGGATTAGAGGTGTGAGTCACCGTCCATCTGGCCTACATTTCTTCTTTTTTTAAACAGTTTTGCTTTGTCACCAGGCTGAAGTGCAGTGGCACAATCTTGGCTCAGTGCAACCTCCGCCTCCCAGGTTCAAGCAATTCCCCTGCCTCAGCCTCCTGAGAGCTGGGACTACAAGCACACGCCACCAAGCCCAGCTAATTTTTTATGTTTTAGTCTAAGGGGTTTCATCATGTTGGCCAGGATGGTCTCGCTCTCCTGACCTCTTGTTCCACCCACCCCGGCCTCCCAAAGTACTAGAATTACAGGTGTGAGCCACTGTGCCCGGCCTTTATTGCAATTTTTATAGTGTGTACACTATACAATGCACACTATACCCTTAAATTCCAAATCAAGAACTAAATAGCATTAGATACCTATTTGTATGATGTCCTTGTTACCTGAACCCTAGCTACTAGCTGTCCTCAACTCAGGGATAAGTATATTCAGACAATGTGTAATCTCTTGCTATCTAAATTGTTACTACTAGAAAATGGGAACTCAACAGATTTGGAGAGCAAGAGATACTTACACTTATGAAACCTACTCCATAGCAAACAAACAAAAAAATACCCGCCTTTAAACGGAATAAAAAGGGGATTCTGTTTTTTGAGACAGGGTCTTGCTTTATCAGGCTGTAATGCAATGGTGCGATCACAGCTCACTGCAGCCTTGATTTCCCAGGCTCAAGTGATTCTTCCACTTTAGCCTCCTCAGTAGCTGGGACTACAGGCATGTGCCACCATGCCCGGCTAATTTTTAAGATTTTGTTTTTAGAGAAAGGGTCTTTCCTATGTTGGCCTGGCTGGTCTTGAGCTCCTGGATTCAAGTGATCCTCTTGCTTTGGCCTCCCAAAATGCTGGGATTATAGGTGTGAGTCACTACGCCCAGCATGTGCTTTTTAATATAAATGTTAAAAAATGGGAATAATTGTAACAGTGCCATCATTTATTTATTATCTCTAATGTGCTAGGCATTCCTTCAAGCATTTCCAAGTTAATAACTCAATCACTCCTCACAACTGTAAGTTGTTCTTGTCTCTATCTTACAGACACGGAAACTGAGGCATAGAGAGTTTAGATATAACTTTATTAAGTCAAACAGTAAGAAGAAAATGGCCTCAAAAATATACATACTTAATCAGTATATTATACTGCAAGTATACAGATATACTTTTAGTTTGAAAGAAGGATCAATTAAACATTCTAAGGAACTGGAGAACATTATGTTAAGTAAAATAACCCAGAAACAGAAAATTAAACACTGTAGGTTCTCACTCCTATGTGGAAGCTAGAAAAAAAAAAAAAAGTTGATCTCATAGAAGTAAAAAGTAGAACAAAGGATACTAGAAGCTGGGAAGGGTGGGAGAGGGAGATTTATTACAAAATTACAGCTAACTAGGAAGAGTAAGTTCCAGTGTTCTAGACCACTGTAGGATGACTAGAGTTAACAATACTATGTAGTTTTGGCCAGAGGGTGGTGGCTCACGCCTGTAATCCCAGTACTTTGGGAGGCTGAGGAGTGTGGATCAAGAAGTCAGGAATTCGAGACCACCCTGACTAATATGGTGAAACCCTGTCTCTACTAAAAATACAAAAATGAGCCAGATATGGCGGTGTGCACCTGTAATCCCAGCTACTTGGGAGGTTGAGAAAGGAGAACTGCTTGAACTCGGGAGGCAGAGGCTGCAGTGAGCTGAGATCGTGCCATTTCACTCCAGCCTGGGAGACACAGTGAGACTGTCTCAAAAAAACAAAAAACAGGCCGGGCGCGGTGGCTCACGCCTATAATCCCAGCACTCCGGGAGGCCGAGGTGAGTGGATCACGAGGTCAAGAGATCGAGACTATCCTGGTCAACGAGGTGAAACCCTGTCTCTACTAGAAGTACAAAAATTAGCTGGGCATGGTGGTGTGTGCCTGTAGTCCCAGCTACTTGGGAGGCTGAGGCAGGAGAATTGCTTGAACCCAGAAGGCGGAGGTTGCGGTGAGCCGAGATCGTGCCACTGCACTCCAGTCTTGGTAACAACAGCGAAACTCCGTCTCAAAACAAAACAAAAACAAACCCAAACAGACAATACTATGTAGTTTCAAATAGTTAGAAAGAGGATATTAAATGTCCTGCACAAAGAAATGATAAATGTTTGAGGTGATGGATATGGTAATTACCCTGATCTGATCACTATACATTATATGTACTGAAGCATTACTACATAACCCGTGAATATGTACAATTATTATTTGTCAATTAAAAAAATTCAAGGTTTATAATTCTTAAATCTTAATTTAATCATTAAATTTAATCTTAAATCTATAAAATTTTAAGGATTATATTTATCTGTACAACCCTCTGAGAAAAAATATACTCACCATTCAGCTTGTTTTCTTTGCTCTGCCAGCTCATGGAGCCGCCGAAGGGCTTTTTCCTGTTTTTTCTCATCCTTGCGGGATCTTGAAGAGACATTTCGAGCAAACTCTCTCTGCTTGAGATCTTTTAATCTCTGGGTTAAAATAAAGAAAGATATAGAGGGTGGATGATTTAGAGTAACTTAGGAACCTGAAAGCAAAGCCTTAGGACACGACCCTCAACCAATAGTTACAGTATTAGTGTAGAATACATTATCATATTCTCTTATGGCAATTGAAAACACAATGGCTGATTACTTTGGGTATAGCACTTGCAGTATCTGCATTTCTAATTAGGACAACGCATCATTTGCTTTATTAGGCGAAATAAAATGATCTCAAATGCAACAAGGAAATTTTAGAACACTGGGAGGAAAGAAAAGGGACTATTTAATCACCTGCTCCTCCAGGATGCAAAACTAGACAAACAGAACATGAGATAAATTGCAATACCACAAGCCAAAGAGAACAGAAAGGGGTTAGGCTAGTACAGAAAATTACCCAGGTGTAAGATCTTGAAAAGCAATGTACAGCTTACATGGGGGGGGGTTATTAAAATTAGAACAAATAGAAAGCATACTTTTATTTCACCATAAAAAGGTGTTGTTATTTTTTTTCAGCATGAATAGAGGTTTCCTGTAACTACTGAATAAACCCAAGAGAGGTCTCCCTCTCCAAGAGAGGTCTTCCAGTGCTAGCATGTTTAGAGCTCACCAGTCTGACCACTTTTATCTGGTCAGCCTGCTGAAAGTAGTATGTGAGGCTTTGCATTCCTTCATGGCCCTGAGAGGAATATCCAGGGGATGAGGAGGGAGAGCAGAGATAAGTCAAAGATTTTACTTAAAATCCAGATAACAGAATGGGTCTTTTATTTTCAGAAGCTACTGTATAATTTTCCTTAAAACAAAACAAACTATAACCAAAAAAGAACAGTGTTATGACACACTGGTGACAGAACCCAGACATATCTATCTGCAATGAAGACACAACTAAAATTATTTTCAAGACATTAGATAACACAAGAAACAAACAAAACGAAACATATACATTAGCCTATGCTTTTACAACAGCATTGGGAAAAGGAATTTGACCCAGTATAAAGTGGACATTGCTTTGTGGAAAGGCATGATGTTTAACAGACAGAGGAATTTTCTTACCTAATATTTATGAAATGTGTTTTGAATCTTTTTAAATTGGAAGAGGGGAAGGGTAGAAAGACACACACAATAAAAGATATACAGCTAAAGACACTAGTAGAAAAACTCACTCTTGTGATCTGGGCTCCCAAATTAGAAGGATTTGCTTTCAATACATCAGCTGAAAATGTCACATCACAAAGAAAAAAAAGTAAAAAATAAAACAAGAGTGGAAGAGAAAAAAAAAATAAAGCAAGCATTACTACACAAGCTCTCTTAGTGAATCTGTAAACTATTATACTGAACAATCAGGGACAAAGCCATCAATTCTAAAAGGGCTGGGGAGAAGGGAAGCACCTGTACAACATATATATGTGTACATACACACAGACTGACATAGTAATCCCACCTAGAAAAATGAAACTACCTGTATTTCTTTCAGAAAAATGGTTCCAGAACTTTGGAAAAGACCATTGTGGCATAAAAAAGCAGTCTTGTTTCCATTAGCCCTTATTTTGGGGAAGTTGAAGCAATGAACAGCTGGCAAAACTATTAGTGCCCATAATTAAGATTTTTTTTTTGAGACACAGTCTCTCTCTGTCGCCCAGGCTGGAGTGCAGTGACATAATCCTGCACCTCCCAGGTTCAAGCAATTCTCATGCCTCAGCCTCCCAAGTAGCTGGGATTACAGGCGTGCACCCCCATGCCTGGCTCATTTTTGTATTTTTAGTAGAGACGGAGTTTCATCACGGTGGCCAGGGTGGTCTCAAACTCCTGGCCTCAAGTGATCTCAAATGCCTCGGCCTCCCAAAGTGCTGGGATTAAAGGCATGAGCCAACACGCCTAGCCCACAATTAAGATTTTTATAATGTCACTTCAAGATAAAGGATCAACTATTTTAAATAAATATGAATTCCAATTTCCTTCTCCTGAGGTGAATGGGCAGAAATAAAAGGCTTATCAGGCCTATTATATGATTACCTTTGGCCACAAACCTAATTTTTTCTTCCCCAACCACATAACAGGTTTTCTAGCCAAGATTTAGATAGAATGTATCTTCTTCTCCTATCTGCCATTTTCTCCCTCTCTCCTCTCAACTCAAGGCAACCTCCGCCTCCTGGGTCCAAGCGATTCTTCTGTCTCAGCCTCCTGAGTAGCTGAGACTACAGGTCCCTGTCACCATGTCTGGCTGATTTTCTGTATTTTTAGTAGAGATAGGGTTTCATCTTGTTGGCCAGGGTAGTCTCTGACCTCAAGTGATCCGCCCACCTTGGCTTCCCCAAGTGCTGGGATTACAGGCATGAGCCACCGTGCCCGGCCTGCCATCTTCTCTCTAGCTACCTGCTAAGACTGGAAAATCTCCCTATGCCATTTCTCCCCCTCTTACAAATATTTCATTACTTTTAGAAAGCATTTTTCAAACTACAGGACATTCTCCAAAATAACAATCATTTTGTCAAAGTATGGAGTCTCCAGGCTGAGTTGAGATTAAGCTTTCCGTTCAGCAGCCACTCTGTACAACCTTGAAGTTGAAGGAACAGAACCATGTCCACATCATGTGGAAGACATCCTATCTCAAATTCCCACCACAGGAATATGGTTGGAGGTAGAGAAGGAAGAAAATGGGATGATGTAATAAAAGAATCTAAATTGCAGGCTCCCTCTGGGCATATCTATCCTAATTAATACCCCCATAAGGCTTAGAAAGGCTCCCAACATCACATTTTCACACTACAAACTTTATAGTTAAGTCTGCAGTCCCAAAAGCAGAATTGAGAACCCCAGAATTCTAACCCCAACCTTTGAGGCAGGACTCAGCAAATGCTCTGAAACTCAGTATGTGTACTTGAGGTTTCTCTCAGATGAGGACATTCTGGTGACTTTTAAGAGACAAAGTCTCACTGTGTTGCCCAGGCTGAAAGGCTGGGGCTATTCACATGTGTGATTCCACTACTGATCAGCTTGGGAGTTTTGACCTGCTCTGTTTTCGCCCTGCACCAGTTCACCTCTCCTTAAGAAACTTGGGTTGGTCCCATGCTCCTGTGAGTTTGATGTCTACTTAGTGCAGACACCGTCAGCCTAGCACACATAGCCCAGAACTTCTGGACTCAAGTGATCCCCCAGTCTCAGTCTCCCTGTAAGTCAGGACTACAGCAATGCACCACCAGACCTAGCCAAGACATGGGTTATAAGGTTCATATTCTCCTTTACCTAGAATGAATGCCTAACTCCAAGTGTCTCCTGCCTACTGAAGGTCAAACTAAATTCTCACAAAGTCTCTACTGATCCTTCAAAAGAGGGAACTGTTCTTTCTGAACTGTCCTTAGTGGTGCTTTGTCATATCACTCACCTAGCAGCTATCGTATTTTGTTCTTTGACCAGTTATTCCTGTCTTTTAGAAAGACAGTATGTGTAGAGCTTCAGAGTCAGGAAGCCTGGGTTCAAATCCATTAATTACTAGCCAATCCACTTATTACTAGGTGATTTCAACTGAGTTCCAGTTCCCTCATTAAAAAACAGAGCTATTCACCTACAGATTTACAAGATTAAATGTCAGAATAAATGTAAAGCATTTAATAAGTCACAACTGTTCAATACTGCCTTTCCTCTGTGTGGGGCTGGGACTACAGCTTATCTTTATAATCAACCCTGCGTAAGTGTAGAGAGGGCATATGATAAATGTCCAGTGAATAATTCAGTTCAAACATTAGATCCTTCATTTTCCCCCAAATAAATTTTTCTACCATTTGTAGGAAGGGTTGATATAAAGTATTCTTATATTTCTATTAGGGACATATTAAGGTTATATGGTACGGTCCACCTAGCTACCACTGCGGGTATCCCTTATTTTTAGACAGAATTAGGCTAAATGACAAAAGATACTGGCCAGAAACTTCTCAGCTTCCTACCTAAAAAGTTAATTTTTATAAAGGCAAAAGGCCCTAATCAGAGTCAGGTTTTCCAAAGTTGCCTATTTTATTCCAAAAGGCTACCAAGGTCTGGCTCATTTGCCATGGAATGCCCATGTGAAATTCTGTGAATTGTACCTGTACTTTTCTCTTAAATTCTAAAGAGGAACACAACTTTACATAATTTATTCAGGTAGACTAGAGCAACATGCCTGCCTATCAGAGTAAAGACAGAGTTTACAAAAAGATAAAAATTTGCAGATACGTCATCAATCTGTTGTCAAAGTCTGAGCAAATTTCCTATCATACACAAAAATTCAAGTTAGATTCCAAATTGGGACATTCTCATTTGAATAGATTTAATTATCCATTTAAGCTGACTCAAAAGCTATGAGACGATATCCTTATATCTGAAGATTATACAATATGCTTTCTGAAGAGCTAATAAATTAGCTTATTTTACTGAACTACTAATGCCTAGTAACTAGTAACAAAAACTTAAGCCACATAACACATTTTTAGTTGGGAAATATCTTGATTCAAGAAAAGGAGACTGAACCCTGCTGAAAAGAAAAAGATATGAAGATCCTGTTTTCCTGAAAAATCAATAGCATTTTCCCAAAACCACATACATTTGCAGCACAGTACAGAATGGAAGAAACATTTCCTACAGATCCTTAATCACACGGTGGCTGGAATTTCCTTTAAACTTTCCAGAAGACCAGAAGAAAGGCAATACCTTAACAAATGATCCAGTACTTGAAGTACCCATCCACATTAAATGCTGAAAGATTAAGCCAAAGAAATGAGAATCAGGTAAATCTGAATGCAGATTATAAATGTGCAGAAAAGGTTCTCCCCAACAGCCACCCACTTATCTTTAAATGTAGACTTCAAGAGCAGAAACATTTTGCCTCACAGTGTCTATTAAAACAAGCCAACTATGGCAATCAGGCTTTGTAGAGCATCCGTAAAGTGGTTATCAAGAAATATGGCTTCTTTCCATAGCGAAGAGCAATAGTGTTCCTGCTCAACAGTGACTGAGTTTAATAAGACACATATTTCTGTACAGTGTTCCCTAACAACAAAATACAAAGGTTTAATAAAATCTTTTCTGTATCTTTTAGTGCAATGCTTCTTTCTTCTATCAAAATAAAATTTGACACTAGGAGTTTATATTTGATGGAGTATACTAAGAATAATTCTGACTACTATCTTTCTCAAGTATTTCAAATTGATTATCTAAATTTAAAGAATAAAACCCGTTTTTATCATGTGAACGGAAATCCAGGCATCAGAAAACAGGCAGAATTTAAGGCAGATTATTTCCTATTGCTACTAAAGTCCCATGTTCTACATTTACTCAGCTCTGAAGAAACTTGATTTTATCTCTTTAGGTTAAAAAAATTATCCATGGTTTCTTTCTCTCACCAGATAGCAACTCTGCTCTCCCAACAGGGACTGAGGCTTAGTCTTCCTTTTTAACTATGCAATGCAAACATAGTTGTCTATGGCACAAAAGAGATACTCAGTAAGTATTAATCAAACTGGGTTGTGGCTCACACCTGTACTCCTAACATTTTGGGAGGTTGAGGTAGAAGGATTGCTTGAGGACAGGAGTTCAAGACCAGTCTGGGCAACATAGTAAGACTGTCTCTCAAAAAAAAATTTTTTTTAATTAGCTGGGTGCAGTGGTGCGTGCTTTGTAGTTCCAGCTATTTGGGAGGCTGAGGTAGGAGGATTGCTTGAGTCCAGGAGTTCAAGGGCACAGTGAGCTATGATTATGCCACTATACTCCAGCCTGGGTGACACAGCAAGAACCTGTCTTTTTTTTTTTTTTTTTGAGACAGTCTCCCTCTGTCACCCAGGCTGAAGTGCAATGGCGCAGTTTTGGCTCACCACAACCTCCGTCTCCTGAGTTCAAGCGATTCTCATGCCTCAGCCTCCCAAGTAGCTGGGACTACAGGTGCGTGCCACCAAGCCTGGCCAATTATTTATATTTTTAGTAGAGACAGGGTTTCACCATGTTGGCCAGGACGGTCTTGAACTCCTGACCTCAGGTGATCTGCCTGCCTTGGCCTCCCAAAGTGCTGGGATTACAGGTATCAGCCACTGAGCGAGGCCGAACCTGCGAAAAAACAACAACAAAAAAACCCCCCACAAGAATGTGTTGTATCTTGACTACTATTTCTGGCTAAGGATAATCTGGCCTTCTTCAAATTTCAACCACTCCTTTTCCTCTTATGTCAACAATCCTGTATACCAAAACAAC